AATACAACACCAAGGACGAACATCTAAAGACAAAACGACCCCACTACACTCGAGAGAGAATGACCAACCACAATCGATATGCCACTCACAATCACAACTCAAAGGATTTAGAGTACGACTTGACTTCGCAGAAAAGGACTTCATTGAACTAGACCAATGACCACCTCGATGACCCAAGTGTACGTACAGATCCGAGTAACCAGGCATCCCCTCCACGCACAATCTCCACGCCATTCCCAAGCTAGATCAGACACAAAAGAAGTTCTCCCCGAAGAACAGAAAAACCTGACATAGCCAACCATTCTGAAATCAGAATTGATTTTGTTGCAGAGACTCAGTCGTTGTCACAAGAAGAACACAACGTCTTATGTCCCTAACTCCAGCTTCCTGAAACTTCTTTAACAAAGAAGAAGCGGAAGAAAATTATGATGTTCACCAAATACCAACGTCCATCATCCATCCTTGAATTACAGAAGAACTGTTCTAAAAAACTCTGTAAAACCCGGATGGGTGGAACCTGATCTAAACTACATTTTATGATTGGATAAATTAAATGTTTTACCAATGTAAAGTATTTAATATTAACCAATCATGATCCATCTAACTAACAACCCACTTATTTGTAAGTGCTGAAGTTACTTGTAATTTCAGCACCAGAGAGATTTGAATTTAACTTAGAAATTAGTTGGACTCTCCCGAGCACTTCAGCAGCCGCAATAAACCAGTATACCCTAGATCTATTGAGCCTAGCAGAGACTAGTTAAACAACCTGAGACTAGATAGTATAAGAGTAAGATTAGGATCGGTATTAGACTAAGAAGTTGCACGAATCTATCCGGCCGAAAATAAGATAGCGTGACGAGCAGACGGTGTACCCTATCCGAAATTACTCTATGAGTTAACCAACTCGGTCCTAACTCAGGACTACGATGAAAAAATTGAAAAATTTGAATTTTTTTTTAAATCATGATACTAGTTTAGCGGCTAAAATAAAAATTAAAAAATTTTTTCCTCAGTTTTGGCATTTTTATGTGAAAATGCTCATAATAAAATTTTCATAAATAGAATTTGCATGATAAGCATTTTTCCATAGAACCAATGAATGGAATTGAAAGATAAGCTGATTTTTGAATAGAATTGTATAATAAACATTTTTTGTTGAGAGGCCAATCCGAGAAACCAAAAAACTGAAAGAGCACAAACAATGTAAACATACTACCCGAAAAAATTTGTAACGTAACTCCCGTCAAAACATCCGCTGTGTCACGGATTCCGCAACGAACGAACATGAAAACTTGTTTTAGATTCCGCAAATATGACCGAGTCCCCTCATTTTCCATGCAGAGTCGGCAAATTTAAGCAAATTCCGCAAATTTGTTGGCTTATCCTGCAAATGTCAGCGGATACAGCTATTTTGTTTACAGATACGCGGATTTCGCTAAGAAAAGCTGATTTAACAAACTTAAGCACAATTCAAGACAGCGCAATTTTACTTTTTCATTCAGCGCAACAGATACCTTTTCATTCGTTTGTGAATTCCACTCCCTGTTCTTGATGTATATTTGTATATCTGTTCTTGATTTATATCCAAAACTTATATTTGTGCATCTATTTTTAAGCGTTAAAAGTGATACATTGAGCGTGTTAATTGTTTTATGTTTGATTGCACAGCTTTTTGACCAAATAATGGTCTGTATAGAAGATTTTTGCTCTTGTATTAAACACTTTGGAACCAAAGTATGGTTTATTTTTAATATTTTTTAAGTATTTTATTGTTCATAGCTTTGTAGTGAATTTTTCCCCATAATTCCAATTTGTATTGATCAAAAAACAAATTGTGATAAAACAAACATTCAAACAAAAACGGAGCAAAGTCTGTTTAGCATCGATTATTGTTCCGACTTTCGATACGAAAGTAACGGAATATTTGTGCTCAAGACGGGTTTTTTTTTCTTCAGACAAATTTCGACTTTTTAACTAGCCATTTTTGACGGCATTTTTCATATATTATTCGAACAGTATTGTTGTCCTGAGCTCAAATTTGAAAAGATATTTCACCTGTGATCATTTTTCGTAAAGTTACCGGGGTATAAAGATTGCCATTTTGGCCAATTTGAGACAAGTAACGCGCGATATAATTCGCGCTATTAACGCGTAAGCGGAGAATTATTCCGCCTTAGAAATCGTTCCAAATTGGTTAAAAGAAGCTTATTTGCCATAAATGGTTTGTTACAAGGAGGGAAATCTATCCTTTTGTACTTTATGTGGCGTGTGGGGGGATGACTTTCAAAAAAAAAAATTTCAAATTTTAGAAAAAAAAATTTTCGTTTTGTTTTATTTCATTGAATTTTTTAAAGTTATTACTGCTCCATAAACCTTATAAGGCAATCGAGACATTCAGGGCTTCGCCCTGATATGAGCAGTCTTGTTTTTCCGACTTTCGATACGAAAGTAACGGAATATTTGTGCTCGGGGTGGGTTTTTTTTCTTCAGACAAATTTCGACTTTTTAACTAGCCCTTTTTGACTGAATTTTTTTTATCATTCAAAAAGTATTGTTGTCTTGAGCTTAAATTGGAAAAGATATTTCACCTTTGATTGTTTTTCGTAAAGTTATGAGGGTTTAAAGATTGCCATTTTGGCCATTTTGACCAATTTGGGACAATTAACGCGCAATATAATTCGCGCTGTTAACGCGTAAGGGGAGAATTAATCCGTCTTATAAATCGTTCCAAATTGGTTGAAAGAAGATTATTTGCCATAATTGATTGGGTACAAGGAACGAAATCTATCTTTTTGTTTCTTTATATGGCGTGTGGGGGGATGATTTTCATAAGAAATTTCAAATTTTAGAAGAAAAAAATTCATTTTTTTTTTATATTTCATTTAATTTGTTTTATGTTTTACTGCTGCTCAAAAAATCCTAAAAGGCAATTGGAACATTCAGGGCTTCGCCCTGATACAAGCAGTCTTGTTGTATTTAAGACGCAATTACGATCTTACCGAGATTGGATATATACTTGAGGGTGCGGTTTAGTTCTAAACTGATTTTGGAATAGTAAGTTTTTACCAATTCCAAACTTTTCGCAATACAGATTTAGTGAATCATGAAAGTTTTGTATATTAAAGCCAACTACAATTTAAAAAAACTATGCCGCCCGCTTACCGCCTCTATTATTTCTAATTGAATACTCTGAGCTATTTGTACGGCAAATGCTAATATATGTTCCGATCTCTTGAAGTGGAAGAAGCCAAGAACTCGTGAAGTATTTCTTAGTCGTTTTTCGATGGGAACAAAAATTTTTTGCGAGAAGTTCAGTTTCTAATTATTTTGATTTTTTTTCAGCAAAAATTCAGAAACCCAAAAAGGTCAAGTTTTTGGGAAAAAAATGATTTGAAAACTCGCGCTGCTCAGTTCTAGTTCAAAGACTTATCGATTTTGTATGATTGCTTCACCTATTTTTAAAGGAATCGTGGCATTTTATAAATTGAAGTTTTATATAATTAAAAATAAAACACACAAGAAAAATTGAACTACAATTCCAAAAAAACTACTCACTTTAAATTTTTATTCTTTAAAATCATTCAAAATTTAACTTGGGTAAAATTGTTCTGTTCTGTTTGAAAAGTACAAACCCGGCTTAGCCCGCTATAACTATGGCTTCAAAATAACCGCAATACACCCTCAGAGGGTCACCTAAAATAATAAACTAAAACTTGAACAACAGAACAATCAAAATGATTGTTTTCCACACTTATTGAAAAGGTTATTTAGATCAGATTACATTCAGATAATCAATTCAGGTAGACAAAATGCTCTCTCCAAGTACGAATGCGAAAATGGCGCGAATAAAAGTGATTGACTTCCAGCTTTGATAGTGGATTTTGGTTTTATAAATTTCCAGCTGAACAAAAATTCACCCATTGACAGGGGCGGATTTAGGGGGGGGGGGGGGGGCGGACGCCCTTTCTTTCAGGGATTCGACCCCCTGCCGACCCAAAGGGTCCCCCTTTGATACTTTCTAAGAAATCCATTTTTGGCCGACCAACACTAAAATTTTTCTAAAGGCGCCTTTGGCGCCAATATATACTAATTTTGAGGGGGGAGCGCGCGCCGAAAAAACGCAATTTTTCGGTCAAAATTTTCCAAAAAATGCCTAAAAACGCCTTTTTTGGCCTGTTTTTTCAAAATTTTGCCTCCGGCGCGAAAAATTTGGCCAAAATAAGGACGAAACCGTGCTTTGGGAGAGCTCGAAAATCAATTTGGTCGACCTAAAAAAAAAGGTCAAAATTTTCGAAAACTTTTTGAAAATCCGCCCCCCCCCCCTCGAGAAAATCCTAGATCCGCCCCTGCCCATTGACCCAATTTTTTTAAGAAACAAGTGCCAATCATGAACAGTTCTCAAAATGTTTCAACTTGATATATTTTTTTCCTTCGAAACTGGAAAGTGATAAGCAACCAATTTGTTTTTGATTAGTTTTTTTCCGGTTTCCATGTGTTCTTTTACACTTTTCTAATCTTTTATTGGCTGTTTTTTTTCTAAAAAAACTTTTCGTCTTTTTTTCTTCTTTTGCTTTTTCTTCTTCTTTTTTCTCGTCTTCCTTTTCTTCTCATTGTCTTTTTTTCTTCTGCTTCTTTTTATTATGATTATTATTATTATAAGGTTATTATTATGATTACTATTATGATTATTATGATTATTATTTTTTTTATTAATCCTCTTCTTCTTTTTCTTCTTTTTTTTTCTTCTTCTTATTCTTCTTCTTCTTTTTTCTTCTTCTTCTTTTTCTTCTTCTTCTTCTTCTTCTTTTTTCTTCTTCTTTTTCTTCTTCTTCTTCTTCTTCTTCTTCTTTTTTCTTCTTCTTTTTCTTTCTCTTCTTCTTCTTCTTCTTCTTCTTGTTCTTCTTTTTTCTTCTTCTTCTTCTTCTTCTTCTTCTTCATCTTTTTCTTTCTTCTTCTTCTTTTTCTTCTTCTTCTTCTTCTTCTTCTTCTTTTTCTAGGTCTGACCCGTTCGAATCTGGAGAAGTGTAAGGTGAGAGTGCGAGTGTACAACAAGTGCAGCCGACTGAAGAGGGACGAGTTCCTGGGAGAGGCTTCCTTCACTCTCGTCAACCTGCCAGACTCCGAGATGCTCAAGACATGGGCAGACCTCACTCCTAAATCAGGAATAGAGGCCAGTTACCTTCCCTTTTTATACAGTTAATGCTAACGGTATAAATGTTGCTGCTAATACTCTTTCAGGTCAACAACTGCTGATTGCGACGTCGTTAATTAATTTTTTATCCATACTTCAGCTCGTAAAGCCGTCTCGCAAAACTCTAATTAACCTAAAAAGCCCATTTTTTTTTGTTACCAAGAAGTTGCTCAAAGTCATCGTTACTGCCAACAGTTTGGCAACTAATAAATAAGTAGCAGAAAGTCGGAACAGACAGACGTAATTAAAAAGAGCTGTTGACCTATTTCACAAAATACTGCATGCAATCGCTAGTTTTTTTGACAAAAATATTTTCCAATTTTGCTTGAAATTTAATTTATGACCGCAAAATTCGTTCAAAAATGGCTAATTGCCCTTTTTATTTAACTAGGTATGTTCCAACTTTTTACAATTCCCTTTACTAACCGATTCAAAGTGCTAGATATATAAATTTGGCTTTTATAGTTAATTGTTAATTTCGAATTTTCGGCAATATTCTTTCAGGTCGACAAATCTGAACAAAGTTGATAAAGCTAAAATTGCTCATTTTCAATTTGGAAGTCAATTTTCACTCATTTCGGCCTTTATAGAGAACTGTAGATAATTGGATCAGCTAAAATTTATTAAAAAGCGCGATATGCAAATTTTCAGCTATGTTTAAGATTCAAACAATCTTGACACATCAAAAATTTCTGAAAATTAATTTTTGCATGCGAAAATTTCATGAAATAGGATATCATCGCCACTGTGTAAATAACTTTGTCTCTTTAATTTAAAATTTGTAAAAAAAAATTTGAGATAAAAAACAAAGTGATAAATTTCGCTTCTAGTAACAAATCAAATATGGCAAATAAGCTTCCTTCAACCAATTTGGAACAATTTCTAAGACGGATTAAATCTACGCTTACGCGTTGATAGCGCGAAATATATCGCGCGTTAATTCTCCCAAACTGGCCAAAATGCCAATCTTTAAACCCCCATAACTTTACGAAAATGATCACAGTTGAAATATCTTTTCAAATGTAAGCTCAAGACAACATTACCTCTTGAATGATATAAAAAATTTCGTCAAAAATGGCTAGTTAAAAAGACGAAATTTGTCTGAAGAAAAAAAAACACCCCGAGCACAAATATTCCGTTACTTTCGTATCGAACGTCGGAACAATAACAAACATGGTTTTTGATTTCTTTTCTGTTTTTAATGTATGCTGATGTAAAATCGACTAGAAAAATTGTGTCGCGCTAATTAGCAGAAAAGTCACATCTAAGATAGGACCCCAATTCGGAGATCAAAAATACCCCGCGGTCGAGTTCAAATAACACCAATTATTGAAAAAAAAAGTAGAATTAAATTTCAATTTGGCGTCAGCTTTCATCAAGTTAACAGACTCATTTTTTTCATGTATGATCAATCATTACAAAAAACGGTAGATATGGATGGTATTTTTAAACATTAGACGAATTTTCAGGCCTGAAAAGCTGTTAAATTCAAAAAAGTGGTTGAAATAGTGCAACACAATTCAATGAAAGTATTCAAGTTTTCTTTTTTTTCATCAAAACTGAAATATAAAGTTTTGATAGAAGAAAGTGAAATTTCTTTAAACAAATTTTCTATCACGTTCTTGATTGCCTGCTCAAATACTTTCAGTTAGACTGAGAATATTAAAGTAATTTTTTTGTGGTTTGTTAGGAACTCCATGTTTTAAAACACTGCTTTTTGTTTTGCTATCAACATATTCGAAATTTATGAACAGTTTCCTTTCTGTCGTTTAAGAATTTAGTTTAAAAACCTAGTGAACCTATTTTATGATTTTTTTTATATCATGATTACAGCATTACTCGAATTATGACTGAAAATTTTTCATAACACATGTCAGTGTTTCCAATTTATTTTTCCCCGCATGCTTTTTCGTGAATATTAACGGCCTAATAAAACAAAAGCAAAACTGCTCAGATGTGGTATTGAAAAGTAGCAAGGCGGATGTTTTTTTGCAATGATACCTTCAAATTATCAATCTCTACAAACTGCTGAAAAATTAGTTTTTTATTTTTTAAGTATAGTAAGTTTTTGGTTTGAATTGCTTTTATTTCAGAACAATAATTAAAAAATCAGCAAAATGCGAAGATGCAATACGAAAAACATTTAAATAATTGCCCTTATTTTTGTCTTTTGATTTGATTTAGTTATTTATATGAATGATATTAAAGCCCTTTCAATTATGAATCGATGGATTTTTTGTAAAAATTTAAATTGTTTTCTCAATAATGAGAAAAACATGTTTGTTTTTAATTTTTTCTTTCTCCGTTATTTAAAAAAGTATTTAGCTTTTGTTTAGGATGTTATTGATTTTAAAATAGCACAAAACTTTTTTTATTGAAGCCGTGAAAAAAAAAACATTTCGAAATTTCTTTCAGAGCTTACTACGAAATGAAAAACGTGAATTTTTGGCTTGTTTTGATGTTTGATTCTCATTTGGTTTTCATTTTGATTTTTTGAACAAATATGTGGTCCAATACGACTAATTTACTCATGTTATTAGCTTTTGTTTTGTTCTTTTTGTCACACAAATGTAAAAAAGAAAAGAAACTATTGTTTTTTTTTTGTTTTTTTAGTTCAATATTATCTGAACGTTTTGGGCTACTTGCACAAAAACGGTCTACTCTTGTTTTTTCTGGGCTTTTCTGATAAATTTTTCAAATTTTGTTTTGTCAAAACGTGAATACTGGAGTTAAACTCCATCAATCAAATCTACATTTTTAGGTTTATAATATTTGTAAGTTATATCTACAGGCCTATGGGTTTGGTTTCTAAATTGATCTGTAGATTTGATTGGATTTCAATTCATCTGTAGATTTGAATGAATTTCAATAACATTCTGACGACCATATATCAACTTCTGTAAGTCTCAGGTGGATTCTAGAAACTACCAATTGGATTATGGATGGCACCAAAAATGGATTTTAAATGACTTTTATTTGATTCAAATAACCATTGTCGGTGCGGGCAACCCCATTTATTCAAAGCGTAATTATGGCTACCGCATCCAGTTTTTAGCGTCAATAACTGATTATATGATAATTTTAGTACCCATCTTACAAAAATTGAGAAAAAATTGATTTAAATCAATTATTAGTTGATTATAATATCTTATTTGAAATCAAAATATAATCAATTTAAGGTATTTTAATCAATTAAAATTGGTTAGAAATCCATCTATTTTTCCATACAATCATAGAAGATTATAATTGGTTATAATTGAATATCTTTATCCCAAATTCTAATTCATATGTTGCGCACATAAAGTCCACTACAATCGGTTCTAATCGTTTTCAATCCTTTTTGTTTTCTTATGTTGTTTGAAATCTTGCATCTGAATTGTTTGTTTTATGCTTTTCGTAGACGTTGGTTTATGTAAAAATTAAGAAAATTGTTTTCAAAGTTTTCATATTAATTCAAATTTACAACTTTTTTTGTCATTTCTTTATTGAAATTGTTTTATTATGCATTATTTAGGTTTTTAACCACTTAATTATTAACACATTGCTTTAATTTCATGGTTTATTCGAAAGATTTTTCTTTCACCTACATCGGAAACCTTTCAACTAAAATGAAAGGACCTCTATGAAAGTATTGTTTTGTGGTAAAATATCTTGCTTTTAGAGATTTTGTTATTGACAAAAAAATATAACCAATGGAGATAACTAAAATATATATTTAGTATGACAAACTTGTGGCAACATATTATGAGATAATAAGCGATTATAATTGATCTGAAGAATTTTTTGCATGAATTATAATCACTTATATTATATTATCAATACTGCGATTATAATCGATTTTAGCTCGTTTTAACACCTAACTTTTGCAAATTTAATCAATTATAATAGTGAAAAAACGAACATAATAATTCGTTATAATCGATTACTTACGCTCAAATTTGGATGAGGGTATCTCGCAAAGTTTCGCCTCACAAATTGCAGCCCACATGCGAATTGAAGCATATCGTACCCCCGCGCAATCATTTGATTGCTTGGCATCATCGGCTCACATTCCCCCCCCCCCCCCTGTCTCACCGCACCAATTAAGCATCAATTTTGCGGAGTAGCGAGGAGTGGTTTAACAAAGTTAAACCTGAAGAACAAATATGTTTGCCATGACTTATAATTAGCCTGCACTCTATTTTTCATAACAATTGGACAAACTGAAAAAAAATTTTAACCTGTAAAATTTTAACCTGTTCAACCGGAAAAATGAAAAAAGAGCCCGAATATTTTTAAGCATTGTATGATATACCAGTAAGAAGTTCCTGGCGGTGGGCAATAAAAAAGCACCATCACTACCGATGTCAACTTTCATAACAATCGGACAATGTGAACAAAGTTTTTACGGGTAAAATTTGCAGGTGAGGGGTTGGAGGAGGAAAAAGAGACATGTAGCAAAACACCACAGCTATTTCGAAGCCCTGTTTTCTAGAGACGACTGCTTTTCGTTTCAGAATCTAGGGTCTCTGACAGTGTCTCTGTGTCTGGAGAAGACTGCCGGCATCCTCACAGCCAGTGTGATCAAAGGGAAAGACCTGCCGCGGAACCTACTCACGGGAGCACCAGGTATACTACACACACGTACAATTGAAACAATGTGGCATCTATCTGTGGCATCCAGCTAATAAGAAGACAGCTGTTAAGACGACAACCGCTTTTGATGGGACTTTAAGATCACACTACACTTAAATTCCCCAATTGTATTTCCGAGAAAAACAATTCGCTTAAATTCTAACAGTTCAATTTCCTTGTCTTAAGTCTCATTTGTCGACTTAATGTCATGTCGTCTTAATGTTTTGTCGTCTTCTTTACCGAGCACCAATGTATTCGCTGGTAAAATGAATAAGTCCTTTTCCATCGTAGCCTTCTAACATTATAGACTAATCCCCCCAGCCTATTAATAAAAATATTGCTCCCCTACAGGGTAGTTGTACCTCTATGCGGAGGGGGGAGGGCTTAACTTGCAGGGAAGAGGGGGCTTTAGCTAAATTGAAGGGCCCAAATGAAGTTACTTTCAAATTCTATCATGAATTGAAACCTCCCGGGTCGAGCTCCGCGACTAATTTTTCGACTTTGTCGATCGCGTGAATGTGAAACCCGCAACCAAAATTTCATAATCTGGACAGGGTTTTAAGTCGCGGACAAACTCCGGAAATACTGTATCTCGGTCGCGATGGTCGAAAAAGTAAACGCGGCCGTCAAAAACTTAGTCGCGGCATAGCCAAAAAATTAGTCGCGGCGGTCGAACAATTAGTCGCGGCATGGTCGAAAATAGAGTCGAGGTGGTCGAAAATGGAAAAATAAAAAGAGGCGAGATTTTTAAAGCTATAACAAACTTGCCCACTCTTGCTTTCCTCCCAGCTTGCATGAGAATCAACGGAGGGTTTACAGAAAAAGAGCCATCAACTCTAATGGCAATTACTTCTTAAAAAACAGTTTGCTGAATGAATAATTTGGCAATTTGATTTTGCAAAAAAAACTGTTCGTAAAGCAAAAACTCTATTTACAGTTTTTTCATCTTTCATTCGACAACACAAGCTCAATAAGGGGGCTTGCGTTGAACACAAGATGAAACATACTCAAGGGCAATCTAATATTTTCTTGACTGGGGAATGGGAGAACGATTTTGACAAAAAGGTTGAAATAGTTACAATAATAAAACAATCGAAATTAAATTATCGAAATTAGAGTCTTCAACTTATTGTGGCAGATCTGTGAATCATCTCCTCGATTTTGATTTCCTCAGTTTTCTGGATGTAAATAAACGCCACAGTCGAAAATTGATCCTTCTTCAAATTTGATCGAAGGTAGCGTTTTAGTAGTTTCATGTTTGAAAAAGAGCACTCAGCGTGCAAACCGTCACGAAGAGGGTAGCACCAATCTGAAAAGTAAAGCAAAAAGTACTGCCGTTGAGAAATTTTCTAAGACAGCTGTGAAACTTTTTGGCCTATCCGTGTACAAGGGAAACCAAATCAAACTTCGAATTCGCCGGGCAAGTCAACATCTGGAAGGAACGGTAGTCAAAAATCGATGAGGCTATAGGAAGCCTACCTTTGTGGCACGCAATATGAAAATCAACCAGCTTTCAACGTCAACTTGGTTTTTTTTGTGACCATTGCTTTCACCATCGAGCTATTGCTGGAAAATTGGACGCAAATTCCAGATGTAATTCATTGACTGAGGATGTTCGGAAAATCTAGATAAATGCTTGCAGCTTTAAGGGATTTGAGCAGGTTCTTCAATTTCATCAGGGCAATCAGAATCTCAGCGTTCCACAAGCCATTTGATGAAGTCTTCTAGCGTAGCTTCATTAGTAGACTTGAGCTGTATATAAGAAAGAACAGCATCGAGTAATTCAACCTAATCCATTGAATGTCAGACATCATGGGGAATGCAGTCTTGCTGGTTTGTGGCTGCAAGCTCCGTATGATTTCACGGAAATCATCAAAACTGTTTGCAGAACCGCGAAGTAAAATGATGAATCGGAAAGTCAGAGCAAAAGTCAGCTTGAGTCAAAAAGCCGCACAGTGCACGTACACGCTCCTTGATAGTGAGCTGGACTCCACCTGGAACAACAGAAGTTTTTGCAGCTCCGTGATAGCTCTGGCTAATTAGATGGGCCTCTCCAGGTCTGCTCATTTTTTGGTCAGCTCCTTTTTGAGATCTCGGTTGTCTCGTTGGCAAGTTTCTGTGATCTCCAAGCGTTCATTATTTTTCCGAGTTTGGCGAGGCAGGAGCAGAAGCAGAAGCAGCAGTTTAGTTCCTCTTAAATCGTGGAGAAGGCAATAAACTGGTTTTGTTCCAGCTGTTTAGGGCCAAACGTTCGCTCTTCGTGTTTTCCCGTTTTGTGACAAGTTTCAATGGCAGGGTTTGCAGTCGGGTGGGTGGATTGCCGGTATTGCAAAATTGATGTCCTTCCCTGTCCAGTGAGCTGAAATTGTAGATGCAAATAAAAATGCAGCTTGGACAATGCCGCTCGAAAAAGCCGCGAATCAAATTTTCACGAATCAAAACTTTTCTTGATATCAAAATCGAATACTCTGGCGCCAAAGGCGCCCTTTCAAAAAAAAGATAAAGTGTTCAAAAAGTGAATTTTTGGTTTCTGTTAGTGTCAAGTTTCCTTATCACGCGGTCACAAAAGTTATTGATAACTGTCAAAAAAAATTTCGAGTGCAATGCAAACATACCGCATTATAGCCAAACACAATACCTATTGAGTAGTGTCCATAACTTTTCGAATGCAATGCAAACATATTCCTTTTAAGCCAAAAAACAATGCTTTTTTTTAAGAACGATGAGTTTTTCCACCAATTTTTGCTTCTAAAAGTTTCTTTGTGTCGTAAATTTTATCACTTGACTTCTAGCTTCAGGTCTACCACAGTTTGATCAATTTGGTCTGCAATAGTGGTACCCCGTGAAATTTTTAGACGCCAAAAAACACTTGCCAGATTTCGACCAAAAGAATCCCTAGTCGAGATTCCCGAATAGTCAAACATAAAGTCTTGCGCTGTTTTTTAATTTCTATCTCCTCTTTCAAATAACGAAATTGACATAAATTATGAGCGCATTTAGGCTTTTTTCCTTTTTTGTACTAACTTCTAACATTCGTTCTTGGTCGACCAACCTTAAAATCTTCGAAAGGCGCCTTCTACGGAAAAAATATCCGCCATTTTGACAGGGGCGGTTCTATCTATGATTTTCTCTAGGGGGGGGGGGGGGGGGGCGGACTTTTAAAATTTTTTCGAAATTTTGTCGACTTTTTTTAGGTCGACTAAATTGGTTTTCCGAGCTCTCCCAAAGCACTTAAAAGGTCTGTTTTAGACAAACTTTCTGCGCCGCAGGCAAAACTTTGAAAAAAAAGGCCAAAAAATGCGTTTTTAGATACTTTTTGAAAAATTTTACCAAAAAAAATCGCGTTTTTTTCGGCGCGCTTTCCCCCCTTAATATAAGTGTATATTGGCGACAAAGGCGCCTTTAGAAAATTTTTAGAGTCCATCAGCCAAAATTGGATATCTGAAAATAGTTCAAAGGGGGACACTTTGGGTCGGTAAGGGGTCGAATCCCTGAAGGGGGGGGGGGGGACGTCCGCTTCTCTGCCCCCTCCCCCTAAATCTGCCCCTGCAATTTGATGGTTTGATGAGGAGCGTGCGTTGGACTAAGTTCAGGCTGACAAAAAATGCTTATAGTACAATTCAATACTTTTGAAAAAAGCTTAACAGAAAAATCCATACAACTCTATAGAAAAAAAAATGTATCAAAATAGCATATTAAGCATTTTTCCATGCTATGAAATTGTATGACAAGAATTTTTTCCACAGAACCTACGCATAGAAATGTATCATAAGCGTTTTTTGTATGGAAGCTAACCCGGGTAATTTTAACAAATTTGCCAGCAAATACCCTAGAAAAAAGGTCAAAAATATTTTTGAGTTTTTTTGTTGTTGGAAACTTGGCCTTTCTAAAAACACAATAATTGCTTCTGAAACTCAATTTGACCAATGCAGTTTGTGCAAAGCATAATGAAAAAGTTGTAAAGAAAAAATGATGCGTGTTTGCTATTAATTGCCGAATCAGAGAACTATAGAGAGCCGGTTAGCTACAATTCAACTTGAACTGTAGCTACCTGGCAAACGATTCTGTGTTTGGGTTCTTAATGACAAGGATTCATGATTTCTTTCCTAAACTTTTTTTTCGCCAAATTTTGCAAACATTTCATTTTGAAGGAAGCTACAGTTTTATGTTCGTGTGTTTATGAGCTCTCTTTGGTATTCAGAATGTTCTAGAACCTTCTCGATGTTTTTTCACTCGTCTTCTATCTAGCTTCTCTTAGATCCGTACGTGAAGGTGTTGGTGGTTCAGGAGTCACGTGCCGTGCTGATGAAGAAAACTAAAGTGAGGCGGAAGACGACTTGTCCCGTGTTCAAAGAAGTGTTCACATTCCATGTGTCAACAACGTCTGAAGACATAGCACACACTGCTGTAGAGTTCACCGTCTACGACAGGACACGCATATGGTACCCGAACTGAAATGTTTCTATTTAATTTGATCTGAAAATAGATAGTTGTTAGCGATAAAATTGTCCCCATTTCAACAATTTTTTCATTTTGAACAAATAAAAAAGTTATTGTTCCGACTTTCGAACAAAATAACGCAAAATTTGAAGTCGGGTTGGTTGTTTTCTCCATACCAGTTTCGACTTTTTAACAAAGCATTTTTGGCTAAATGTTTTTAAATCATTCGAAAGGTATTGTTGCCTTGAACTCAAATTTGAAAAGATATGTTTCCGGTAATTATTTTTTTGTAAAATTATGGGGGTTTTAAAATGTTTAATTTTGCTACAGATTGGGAGAGTTAACAAAGTTTTCTGGTCTTGAAGAGTAAGACAACATGAATCATTCCAAGGCCAATTTAACTGCACCAAATTTTTTTCAAAAAATAATAAATTGATAATCTACAATGTGTAATTAATATAGCAATCAATTTCTATTATAATAGAAAAAAAAATGTTTTGTTTTTGAGCCAAATTACCTATTATATTAGCTCATTGAAATTTAGTTACTATCTCCATATAAAACCGCGAAAATATTTTTTGTCGCCGAAAGATCGCAAAAAAAGGTCTCTAAATAATCGCAAAATTATATATTTTGGTTTATTTTATAATCCCAAAAAAAATAACTTTTCCCCACATAGTTGAAAAAACAATATATTTTTTTCTTCATATAATCCGAATAAAACTTCTCGGACCCCAACAGTATCCATTTCTTTTGGAAAATATTTTCCAATGAGAGTATGAAGAAGACAGCTATTCTTCCAAATTGAATTGGGGCATGTTAATTGGTCAATATAAAATAATACATTTTTTTTTGAAGGTTTCATCATTTTTTTAAACGTGCACTGTTCCATAGACCTTCAAGTCTTTGTCCTGAGAAATTCAAGTCTTTGTCCTGATACGAGCAGTCTGGTTTCAATTGGTCTAACGCTTACATAGTTTGTAAGAAAATTGTTGGAAATTCAAGTTTTTGTATTAAATTTTCTGGATTGTTTAATCAAAGCATCAAAATCAAGTCACAACTATTCTGTAATTAACTTTCTTTTCTAGTTGGCTAAAAAAGAAAACTTAGTTCAAGGAATTCAAAGGCAATATAAGCAAATAACTTTTTTTGCGTCAGTTGTTGAAAAATTTTAGTGTCGGATGTTGACTTTTTCTAGTTTACATTTTTTCGTTTGAGCTATTTCAAAACCTGGAACCAAATATTTTGCATTCTACACCTCTTGTCTATAAATTCTATAAATTAGCTGCATCGCAGGAAATTTTTAGGCTAAATCTGTAGTTTTTTGGTTGAGGCTGCTTCGTGAAATTTTTTTGAGCTACACAAAATTTGCTTTTGCCTGAAAATGAGAGTAAGTATAAATAAAAAAAAAATCTTAAAGTAGTGCCGAAACCGAAAGTCGGATTTAATCCCTAACCATCACAATTGAGGCGGTATGCGGTTGCACCGTAAATTGATTTTCTTTTCTCGTTCATAACCTGGAGCATCCAAATCTGTCAGAAAAAGGCGTAATTCTGTTGACATCCAAGACAAAATTAACCACGCTTTTCCTGGAGAAAAGCTGTTTATCAAAATCTAATGGTTTTTTGTCAAGAAATTTCAAAAATCATTGACATTTTTTTAAAAGTTAACTTTAAAATTTCAGCGATTTTCCAAGAAAAAGTTTCTCTAAAAAAAACTGCCAGAATAATTTTCAGCAAAAAAAACTTTGTTTTATATATGATTTTACCAAATATGGTTGTCGTGAAAGAGTACCTGCGGTAGACGTTTTGGGTGGTGAAGGTTGAATATCCCTGAAAAAAAGGGCGTTCCTTGCGCGCTGTCTCAAATTCGTCACTCTTCAGGATTATTCAAAACTTATCAAGTAAAAAAATCCAGTGAGCCATTTTAGTTTGGGCTTTTTGTTCAAAATGCATGTAATTTAAAATTATTACAGGGCTAGAAAAAAAATCGTTTTCAATCGAAAACAGCGGGCCTTGTTTTTTTTTATTGTTCACATTTTTTCGTTCGAGCTATTTCAAAACCTGGAACCATTTATTTTGTAGTCTGCATTTCTAACGTAAAAAAGGCTAAAAATTGTATTTTTTTGGCAGTTTTTGGTAGTTTTGCGCTCTTCTTTTTCAAATTTTTTTAAACGTTCCCACACTTGCTTTTGCTTGAAATTGAGATAAGGTTGAAATCAAAAAACAGTAATGCCCAAATCGAAGTTTGAAAAAAAACATAACCACCATATTTGAGGGGGTATGCGGTTGTACCGTAAACTGATTTTCTTTTCTCAATCAAAATCTGTCGTCAAATTATGTCTCAACTGACATCCGATACAAAAACAACAACAGTTGTCTTGGAGAAAAGCTGTTCGTCAAAGTCTACTGTTTTTTTTGTAATTTAAAATTGCAAAAAAAGGACTTAAAGTTTCATTTTTTTAAGCTGAATAGAAACAATTTTCCGCGATTTCTCCAAGAAAGATTTTTTCAGAAAACGGCCAGATATTTCGCAGCGTTTTTCGGATAAATTTCATCAAAAGTTTGGGTTTTGGAATATGATTTTGCCGAAAATAGTACCTACTGGGGACATTTTTGTTAGTGAAGGTTTCACAATCCTAAAAAAATCTCAAACGCGCTATCTCAAAACCATTACTGATAAGCTGATTAGCAATTCAGCAAATGCTATCAAGTAAATCAAAATTCTATTAAGCTTTTTTAGTTTGTGCTTTCGTTCGAGCTGCATAAGTTTTAATAATAATACACGGCCAGGAAGATATTTTTTTAAGCGAGCGCTGCTCCAATTAAATTAAAAGGCACTGTGAAACTTCAGCTAGTTTTTGAAGGTCAAGTTTTGTTTCATTTTTTCTGGACTGTTTGGTCAACACATTAAATCCAACTCTTAAATTTTCTATAGTTGACTTCCACTTTGATTTTTTTCCGGAAGTTGCAGTCAATACAAACAATTTTTGTGCGAACGTTTTTGACGTCGTGTTTTCGGCAACTGTTGACTTTATTCTAGTTCACCATTTCTTTTGGTTGATCTATGTATGTTTTGCTCGAATCTATATTATTCAAAGGAAAACCCATTTAACCTAATTCTCCTAAAGTTTTCAAAACTCAAACCGTTTTCTAAGAAAATTTACTTTAATATGAAAAAGAGGAAAACTTCAAAACAAGCTTTCGAAGGGAATTTAAGGAAGGGGAAGATACCGTCTCTTTGTGGAATTTGATCTTCTGATCGCCCAAAAAGCCCCCTCGGCTTAACTTACCACATCCTTTTTTGTCGACCAGCCCTAAAGTCGACCGAAAGGAAACTATTTTTTTAAATAAAATGTTAATCAAACTTTTACTACCTTACTCTCTGCAGCTTGAAATTTTTCCCGTATAAAGATTTCTAGAAAACAGTTTTCATGTTTTGCTACTTTATGTAAATTGACAAACTTCTATAGATTAATCTCTGATAGGGAAATAATTTTTTGACAAAACTGACAAAAACATAATTTGCCGGTGACTTTTAACAAATTTATATTAGGGTTTGAAAATAGCAAATTTTCCCCGATATGTTTTGTGATATTAAAGCGTAGGCGGCAATATGAACCGTTTTCAATTAATTTGACGCAAGCAATTTTTTCTTGTTGGCGCATTACCAGACTCAAAATAAATCTTTTTTTTATAGCGACTGGTGGGTGATCACTTTCTAGAAGAAAAAAAAAGACTTTAAACCGCAGTTGTAAAGTTCATGGTTTAGCCCTGAAACGACTTTTTGTTCGGATTTTCAAAGAAAGGGACGGTATCTTTGTCCTCGAGCTGTTTTTTTTTCCGTCAAATATCAACTTTTGGTGGGCTTTTTTTGCAATTAAAACCAAAAAAAAACTGTTGTCATGAGCTTAAAGAAGGACATTTATGCTTGTTTGCATGCAAACTCAAAAGTCGGAAGAGAACATCCAATCGAATCCAAGATTGTCAAAGGTTTTCCAGATATAGTTCAGTCATGACTCAGTCATGATGAAAATCCCAGAAAAGGCTCTCAGTGTCGTTAAAACTAAAATTTTTTGAACTTTTCTCAAATCATATTGCCAACACCTTGAAGTGAATTATAAGCTTACAAACGGAATGATAGCCGCATTGGGGTTTCATAGTTAATAATCGATTTTCATCGATTTTCGTGGTCAAAAGTGTTGACGTTACAGACGATTATATAACTACACATTGGGACCACACAATCGATTATGGTCCATTATAATCCATTAATATTACAGAATAATGGAATATAATCCCTATAATTTTTTCGCCAATTTTTCTGCAAATTGTCAGTTTTTTCTGCAATACTCACAGCCTACTCGACTTCAAAACCTACTCGCATTTACTTAAATTTTACGAAATTTATTATTGCACCCCCACCATACGCCACCGCCCCCCCCCCCCCCTAGCATACTCCCCAACCACATATCCCCATCCCACCTATTCCACCTCCCAACTCAGGGGTTGCTAAAGGCGAGGGTTGCGAAAGTGTTTGCTTTAGGGGTTGCTAAAGGTTTGCGTGCATTTTGGGGGGATAGGGGGCTCACACACGGTATGTTTCACATATGTCTCGGTAAGTGTAAGTTAGGACTGAGTGGTGGGGATGGGAGGTGGGGGTAAGTGAAGAAATGATAAGTAAGTGATTATAATGGTGGGAGTTATTGTGGTGTATTTAGGGGGCGGGAGGAGAAAAGTAGAAAAAAGACAAGTAGAAAACAGTACACTTTTTTGCTGACAAATAGAAAAAATTCAGCTATTGCAACATTTAGGTTTTGAATATATAATTTCAAGGTTTTGGAAAAGCCACGCTTTTACACATTAAAATTTATTTTAAGTAATTAAAATCAAGTATAATCCTTTACAATCCATTATAATTCATTATTATCCCTTTTAATGGATTAAATTGATTACCAATTTATTTGTTTTTTAATTGCTTATTAATTCATTACATTCGATTG